GGGGACTGATCCTAATGTAGAAAGGGTCAGTACATTGCATGATGATCAATCAGAAGAGTATGAAATACCTACCTGCTCAGAAGCAGCCTCCGTGGGTTTTGTTTGATTGACTGATGATGGGAAGCACTGATAAGGAGGGGGGGCGGACCGACTAGTTGGAGATGGCTTTCTGAAGAGAGAGGATGTGTGACCGAGTCGAAGCAAATATGACAAATACTCTATTTGAATTTGAATTTCAATTTGATTAAATCCCTTTCAAACTACGATCTCCAATTAGTGTAGCACACCTCTTCTTCCATATAGCTCTGACTTCCTATCAACACATCGGCTTGAGGATCCTGGCTGTACTGGTGGTTATCTGGTTCGTAATTTGTCTCATCTACCCTTTATCGTTATTATCAATTTTAATATATGTAAACTGATGGCTTGCTTTCGTTTTCTCAGAGGAAGGCCTCAGTCAAAATTGCCAACATATTTGAGAGAGTAATCAGTGGAACAATTCTTGGCTCATCTGCAGTCTCGCATAGGCAGGGGCGATACTCGGACCTTTTCGACACTAATATCCATGATCCATGCTGGGAGGACTTTTGGCAGAGGTTCCAGCTCCCCGACGCTCCATCCAGACAAACAATTGCTCCTTTATCTTCAATGAACAGTTTGTACTGCTCTTTCACATTGGATTATCAGTAACGCTTGCCGCTGGAAGGGCTCTATACTAACTACATGGATTCTTATCTCACAGATGGCGATCCTCGAGATCTGTTAACACCGATTTTGAGGATCCAAATTGATAACTCCGATAGACAATGCCCCTCCCCGTGATCAAGCTAGCAGCTACCAAAAGCAGTCATCTCGGTTTTCCACATCAAACAGGCAAGAACTCCTTATTGATACACAACTACCACGAGGTTATCTCAGACGGCGATCTCGGCAGAGCTTCCCCAGCAGACAGCCATCCCAGACGGCGATCCCAGCACTCTTGTTGACCGACAAGCAGCCCTAGTTCAAAGGCCACAAGGGCCCCCAAGCCATCCCGGATCTCCTCGGCAACTGCGAGCTGGAGAAGGACTTAATCGTCCGCAACCTGATGCCCGCAGGGGCCTGCACAAACACCGATCCCGCTGGGCACCTCACAAACGATCTCGCACAGTTAAATCAGCTTGGCAACCAAGCTGGAGGCCTTAGATTCAAGAAGGGTGAAACTCACCTCATCATCGTTTCAGTCATCCTCATTCCTTTTAATGGGACGTCTTTTTCTAATCTTTTCACCTCTCTATACAACCGGACACGCCCAGTTGGCACCTGCCACATCAATTATTTCTGTCCATCCTCATCAGAACATATCACTAGCAACTTTCAAGGGAGCTTTTTTCTTTTTCTTTTTTTTTTTGTATCACCATCTGTTCTTTTACAAATAATCCGGTGGAGATGGCCTACAAGAATCAAAAACCCAGACAAGTCGGCCGATAAGCAGCCGGGGGGAAAAGACCATGCCCTAGCTGAGCCAAATTTGGTTGCGTTCCCTCCATTGCCAGAAGCAGCACTCCGTCTGATCTTGTCGGCTGTCCAGTTTGTCTTGACAAACCTCAAGCCTCTCACTGAGCCCTGAATTGCTTATCCCTCGGGGCCGTCACCCAACCATCTCTCAAGGGCAAAAACTCTCCTCTCATCATTGTCCTGATCACCATTGGCTCTCAATCACCTTCATTTGGCTTCTCATGTGCATCATAGATATTCTAATGGAGCTTTGAAACGTACTCACACCACCACTTCCTCCACTCATCCAACATCCATCAGCCGCAAAAGAAGTAAGACTTTTGCTCGACCAGCTATCGATGTGAAAATCCCCAAGACGATTTTACCGAACTGCCTCCCCTGCGACAGAGAAAACCAGACGCACGTTTCATTTCAACCCAAAATAGGCTGCTTTGAGGAACGTTGATGCCAACGAAACCACCGTCGCTATGAACATCCTTCCTTCGAACGAACAAGTTTTGGATACCAAAGAAACTCCAGCCACTTGGCCCGGTTTCCAATTGGTGATCACCCTATGTGAACACACACCCGTCGCTGGCAGCGGTGGGCCGCTACGCTACGCTACGCTATGCTACGCTTTTGGCCCAAAAAGTGTAGCGTAGCGGCGCTTTTTTTGCGCCAAAATTTTGTAGTGTTAGCGCTTTTGTAGCGCATTTTCGCTACGCTACGCTGCGCTACAGCGCTTTTAGCGGAAAAAGCGGCTAAAAACCACTAAAAACGGCTGTAGCGCAGCGTAGTGGGCCCTTTTTTGTGGCCCACACGCGTAGCGTTAGCGGTGTCGTGGCGGAATTCCGCTACGCTAACGGGAATTCCGCTGCGTTACGCTACACTAACCGCTATGGTTAGTGTAGCGGCCCACCGTTGTCGCTGGTCAGTTTTTTTCTTTCTTTCTTTCGTCCTATGCCCCGAGGCGCCAGTTGGGCGGTGATCTGCCGCTCAATCCATTATATCTATAGGTCAAGTCATGGCAGCGCACACTGATGATAAGACCCATTCTACTCAAGCACAAGCACACGACCGTACTGAACACATTTCCAATACCTCATCATCTGCAGACATCCCCATCAAATCCACTGCATCAGCAACTAATCAAGGACACACGCAAAGCATTAGCATGACTCAACAATCTTTCTCTTCGGACAATCAAAACCAATGAGCCTTCACTCTGACCACCCTCCAACACCAGAAATGTGTCTAAGATCAGATACTTGCTACTTGCTGATGATCTGATTGATCCCTGGGGTTGTTGCTGCTTCTGAAATAGTTGTAATTGGTTTGGATTGGTTGTTGTTGAGGAAGGACTGCCGCCTAGGATATTGTATACTTATAGAATATAATCATAGCCTGTGTTATCTAATACTTTCATACTATACTGACCAATTGAGTTAGTTGAGTTTATCTACATACAATGCTTGTTCCTCCAATTCATTTTCTTTCTTCATTTTTGATGAGCATTGGGAATACTGAGATTGAACAATACCAAGGGTCCATTTGATGAACCACCCAAAAATCTGAATCTCAAGGGAAGCTGACCTTGAGGAGTCAAATTAAACAACATGACTGGTCTGACTGCCCTCTGAATTTTCCAGAGAAAAGTAACTAGGGGAAAATTGTATGTGTCGTCTTCAAACAAGATCAAATCACATTTATTCCCAAGACAAGTTTGAGGAGGAAATGCAGAGGAAATAAAAAACAGTACTAGCTATCTTCAGTATTATTGATCCCAAGATCACTATCAAGAAGGTCAACGAGAGGAGCGGGAAATTGTAAGAAGTGTGCCTTGATTGGTGGTAGCATATAGTGAAAAACATCCCACACACTGCCAACAGCAATTTGATGAAATTGAAAACCAAGACTGTCAGCCTCTATGCTACTAACCTGTAAGGGTTGTGCTCTGAGTGTTAACAAGAATGGTAATTGAGAAGGTTTATTCGTGGTTAAATCCCTCAACCTGTAAAAGAAACAGGGAGGAGTCAGTGAGGAATGGTACTTCTACTGCTGACTCATCCAATTGTTCAATTGGGCATCCAGATCAATCCTGTTACTTGGATTAATAGGCTTCCAATGTGAGGACTACTTCTACTCACTTGGGATCAAGTCTTTTAACAACAATCCAGATGAATAAGTGTATGTACACTTAAGGACCAGAATTGTTTAACCAGGGGGATAATTCTTTATGCAATAGAGATAAGTAGAAATGCCTTGAATCTGAGCAAAGTAAATCTATTTAGGTCTAAGGTAGCTGGGTTGTAATGTTATTGGTGGTTTGAAGCACTAATAATCACGGTACAAGTGTTGGTTTGATGCTACTAGAATTTCCTGGGGGAAAAGGTAGGAATCTGAGCTCTCTTAAATATTCTACAGGGGGCTCAGGGGAAGAGGAGAGGTCTCTCAGGGCACTGGGGAGCTTCTTAGCAGCTCTACAATTTTGTGTAAGGATGGGAGCTGCAGCTGTGCAGAGCTATGCATGGGTGGAAGGTCCTAGGACATGAGATCATACATGCATAATTGAGTTTTGTGGCCTATTTCTCACGTAATTGAAAGGCTACAGTTACTGTGCAGTGGCTGTGCAATTGTAGAGTTGGTTGCATACGTGTAACTCTGCTTATGCAAGCTTGTGATCATGAGAAATGCATGTTCTTCATGCATAATTCAGTCTTGCATGTAGAATTTGGGCTCCTTTCCCGTGTAGGCTGCTTTGAATTATGCAAGCTTTGAATTAGAGCACAAAAGGGTCCTGATGACGCCATCCAAGAGGGTTATGATGCAATCTGATGCCCTGATGATGTGATCAAGGATGGTTAAGCTTCAGATAAATGTATATAGCTTATTCCTCATCCATTTCACGCTTCTACTAGCTGATTCTTTATACATATGTAATTATTTATGGCTTATAAAATATGTACATAATGTATAAGAATAAACATTGTTTAATACTTTATTCTAATGATATTTCTGTGAAATCCTAGTGATATTATATGTACAATACTCAAGGGGATTTCACAGTTAATTATAGAATTATTAAATATAAATTATGAATTAAGATTAAATGGAAATACATATTTATTTATTTATTATTTTAACAAAAATGTATACTATTTTCCAGTATTCAATTAATTATTATTATTGCAGTTACTAGGTACATTTCACGTACTGTGAAATGTGCTCTGTGGCTGACAAAGACTGCCCATGATTACAGAAGCAATAGTGTGGAACCATGGAGGCGTATGGGTAAACATCACATCAAAATCAGGGTAATCTTCTTGCAAATACTCTTGAGCTTCATCTTTATCAACAGAAACAAGTTGATCAACTGCTTCAAAATACTCTGGTGTGCTGTAGGAGAACTCCGGTGAACAACCAGTTGGCTGGGTAATACTATGATCTCTTCGTTTTCGTGCGTTATTGTTCAGATCAACCCAAATATCTACACTCGCCTGAAAAACTGGTACCCAAAGGAAAAGGAAGAGGAGTCTGTGATGAATGGTCAGCTGGCACGCTTCAAAAAATTACCAGTAAATCTGTACTAACTTTTCAATTGGATCATCACGGTTATATGAACCACTCTCAATAGCACTCCAAATGTGATCGATTATTGATCAATTGTGCTGCCTCATCATTTGAGACCAGAGTGCCTCAATTTTTTGATTGTGTGTTGATTTGGTGTGATGCATTTGTTTTGATGCTTCTTCCAGGGTAATTCCTGCAAACCGATGGGACAGCTTGATCTGGTAAAAGCTCACATCACCAGTTTCTGTCCCATAGTCAGCAGTGACTTTGAGTGGGACCCCGCCAAGTTTTGAGACCAAATTGAGAAAGTAAACACCAATGTGACGGGGATCGTTATTGGTCACATGTACATAAAGGCCCAATATCTCGCGAGACCAGGCATCGATAAATCCGTATACAGTTATTCCAAATCGCTTGAGTTTATCATGCCCGTCAATTGACCAAACATGATTTGGGCTGTAGGTGCGGAAGACACGGCGTTTGCAGGTCTGTCTGAGCCTTGCAGTCATTGCTTCGGGGTCCATGTCTCACATGACATCGTAGACAATTTGTCTAATATTTGAGATGGATGGAAGGGAATACAAGCCAAGTAACTATTTATTTCCCTTCACTAGCTGGATTGAGATCAAAAAATGACTAACCTGGGAATCCTAATGTTGTAGTTCCTTGCAAGAAGAGTCCTCATCCGTCGGTAACCGGTGTTGTTGTGTAGTAAAAACCTCTGGATATGGTTGATGGCTTCATATATTTGAGTCAGTGTCACATTGCCAAGAGCCAGGTCATTCACGTTCAATTTGACTCGGAGTCGGTGCAAGTATCTCTTGACAGTCCGTAAGCAAACTACAATACCTGTCTCCTTGGTGAGTCTGGCTTGGATTTCTTGCAAATTTAAACCTTTGGCATGGGAGGACAGGAGAGATGCTCGGATATGAGGTAGTAGGGCAGGTTGGGTGGGTTTTTGTCTTTGAAGCTGTCTCAGGCCCCAGGTTCGTCGCCTGCGAGTTAGAGTGCTTGCAGACATTGAGATCCCATGCTCCTCTTGCAGGATCTGACGAATCTTCGGTCCTTTATGGCCTTCACATAGGAGACGCTCAACTATGTCCCTTACAAAATCGTCAGAAGCTATAGTTTGACCTTCAAATTGAGTTTCATCCTCACTCGTTGGATTCTCGGGGTCTGAGTTGTAAGGTGGGTCATCAGAGCCTGAATGTGATGAATTGTTGGTCGTTGTCTGATCGGCTTCCATTGTGGTTGAGGAAGATTGATCAATCCAAACCACTGGGAGCTGAAGATAATTTGGGTTCAACTGTGATGTGAGCTGGATCATGAACAGGCATCAAACTGAAACTTGAAGTTTCAAGATGACTCTTGCTAGGAGACAAGTTTTGCTACCTTGGTATGTTTCTGCAGAAGGAGGAAGTCCGTTTTCATGTTTCCAATGCCAGAAGGTAAAACACGTAAAAGACTTATGTGATTTGAAAATACATGTTTGATTTCTGAAGTTTTAAAATACAGAAATCTGTATTTTAAATAGAATACAGAAATCTGTATTTTAATTTTTCACTTTTCATTTTTCAAAATCGTGAGCCGATTGGAGTCCCCTATGGGCTTCCGTACAAAAAGCATACTCAGGAGACTAACGCAATGACAAAAACAATAGCGTAACGTGCTCTTCCAGGAGTAGGGGGGTTTTGCCGCAAGGGCTCAGGCTCCTTGCAGAGCCAGAGTAGGCGGGTCTAGCACCAAATCCCCCCTTTTTTCTCCCTAGCACGCTCCTCCTGTTTTATCTGCCCGGAAATTGTGAGAATTGGAAACTTAAGAGTTATATTTGCAATGTCAGAAACCTAAAATGAACAGTTTTGAGGCAGACAGGGAAAAATGAGAGTAGGAAGAAAAAGAAAGCGTCTAAGTACCTTAAGAGCAAGGTACGTAGGTGATAGGACTATATATGAACAAGAAGGAGAATGTAAAACAAGTTTTAAGAGAAGAGGAGTAGCACGATAGCAGAAAGGAAGCGCGGTGTGCTTAGGAACAGAATATAAAGGTTTGTACAGTAAAGAAATAAAAGGGGCTGTCTTAAAAGACGAGAGAGAAAGCAACAAGAGGTACAAGAAAGAGAAGACAGAAATGCGGAACGAGGTCGTCGCAGGTCTGTGTGATGATGATCTGGATATCGAAGATTGATGGGGGAAAGCTTTTGTGGAAAGATGATGATTCGATGTTTTAGTTCGCAGATGCTGGACACAAATGGTCAAGGAAGGTCAGCCTTTTTATCTCTGTGCAAACAGGTAGGTCGTCTGTTTGTCACTTACAGACCAGGGGTCCAAGCATCACATGAATGATGCGGTAACTGGCTCGTGACTGCTGTGAGAACTCCTTTGGGAATGGTGGCAGTCCTGTGAGGGGGAAATAGCAGATGAGATATATCACGTATGTAATAATCTACTACAACTGTTACGGCTGGTTTGAAAGACCTGCCCCTCTATTGTACTACACTAGAGTTAACACAACAATTTATTTATTTGTTGTGGCAAAACTGATGATAGAGAAAACTATGTGTAGCAGTCTCTCATCAAACCTAGATCAACGTGGATTCAGCAGACTATTGGGGTGGAATTGTTGAGTAAGAGGTGTTCTTGTTTATATGTTTATATATTTTGAAAAATGGTTGACGTATGTACTGATAAGGAATGATAATTTATGAGATACTACTGAGAAAAAAAAATGTGTTTATTTGTCTTTTCCCTCTTCCTTAACCTTGGTTGAGAGCACAATGGTTTAAGATCACAAGTTGTACTGGTTGTTACTTTCTTTTTCCTATGCTTCTCAATGTCTGAATAATCTCAATGGGGCACTTGATTAAGCTCACACTGGTTAATGTATGGATTGATTGCTCTGTTCTGTCTGGTTGCTGATCAGATGAGATGATGATCTGTTCTGATGAGATGATGAGATGAGATGATCTGATGATGAAAAATTGGAATGAGGGGGGGAAGCCCCTCCTTAAATAGTCTATTTTACAACCCGGCTGACTTGTGGTTCTAGCCCTAACCAATAATCTATAAATGGCCAACTTGTGGTTCTAGCCCTAACCTATAATTTGTGGTTACCCTATGCAATGAATATTGAATATGTAAGCTAACTAAGGCCAACTTGTGGTTTAAATTATGCAATAAGCATTTTGTATGCAAATAAAATTTAAATCCCAAATAACTTTTGACTGAGTGGAGCTAGCCTAGTGGTTCCAGTGAGTGACTATGGGTTAAATGCCCCGTAGAATGTGATTATGCAATAATACGCCTAAGAATATATGCCATTCTACATATTGAACTGTGACTTTATGCAATTTGATACTTGAAACACAATTGGCATACTACACCGCGTTGGTCCACTAAAATCTCCTGAGCTTCGATACCTGTGGCATCGGTAGATAGGGTAAAGGAACAGTCAGCTCAGGGCTTTTCACAGAAGGGGTGTTGTGCCCTCAACTGGTTCAGTTCATTACTCACAAGTGAAGACTTGGTTAAGGAACACGTTTGAGGCTGAAGCCTCGCAACGGGAGTCAGGGTTCGAAATCTGACAGAAATGTCCTCCTTCTGATTCACAGCTGTTCGTGGTGAATCAAGAAGGGAGGAATTTCCCGCGACCCTCACACGGCTAACTTGGAGGGCCACATCACATGGCCCTCGGGATAGCCAGCAGCACTACACGGACCTTTCCTCCCAAGAAAGGTCCGAGCTGCGCTAAAAGTGTCAGATAAAAGAAGGAAGCGCAACCCGGTTCCTACCGGCCCGCAGCTCCGTGCCGGGGAAGTGCGCTGACGCCACAACACCCGCACGGCGCCGCCGTCATTCCTAATATGGGCCACGTAGCCAAGCTGCCCACGAGGTGCTACAACGCCCCTCGGCCGGTCCTACCAGGACCAGATACAGGAAGACTGGCTACGTGGCCACCTCTCCCTAGAGGGCCTGAAGAACTAGGCTTGACTCATTTCGCCAGCGCCTTCTTCCCCCCAGGAATCTCTCTACTCCGTTCTCGCTCTCCACCAGATCCCGCCTTCACTCGAGTACTATCCTTCCGCTATCACTAGTATCATCCTCGATTTTCTCTTAGATTTTCTCTTAATTTCTGAAAAAATTAAACATCCTACTCTTGACTACCAACCGATAATCCTACCGAATTATTAGAATGTCTACAAACCCTAACAACAACTTCCAAGCCACTGCAGAGCAGATGAAGCGCAACAATGCTAGTCTCGCAAGAGAAAACACAGATAATCCAAGCGCAGCAAATCCAAACCCAAATCCCCTAACTCCGATACAACCCAATCCAACCCAAGAGATTCCACCCACTTCAATCCAAACACCAAACCCCATCCCCCCAAAACCCAAGAATCCGTCCACGGCAAAAGCACCGACAGGTAGCACAAGCCACCCAGCGACGTCGAGACCAGCGAACCCGCAAAAAGCAACCACCAAGCACCCGTTGTCCCTCGACAAGGTAGCAACAAGCGCCAAGAAGCATCGACAGCCTGCAAAACAAGCGAAAGACCTCGCAACAATTTTAGGGGCAAAAATAAGTGAGTCAAATCACCAAAAGCGTAGCAAAGAAAAGAATAGCCCAATCTGACTTAGATTACCCAGTCGATGTAGATAAAACGTACGTCGAGAGACCCATTGCGACGAACGCGACCATAAGGCACGAAGAAGAGAGAGATCGAGAGGCGGAGAAGGACGAGCAGACGGCCGTCATACTTGAGAACGCCCTCAAGGCGGACGCGGAGGGCGACAAGAAGAGAGCAGATATGTTCTACAACATATACACCAAACTGGTAACAGGTAAAGACGCACCACCGACATTGCAAGAACAAGAAGATCAGCGCCGCCAAGCCGAAGCGAGGATCGGCAAGAAGAACACCGTGGCCGGAGGAACGAATTTCAACTGGGGAGACGCCAACTCCCACGACGACGTAGGATTCACCCCGTTCTTCGACAAGAACATTCTTGAATTGAAGGGACCTCTCCCGTTAACGATATTCAACAAAGCGTGGCAAGATGCTGCCCTCGCATACCACGCAGAAAAGAGGCCAAAAACAGACAATAACTCCACGGAGAAGGGACTCCGATATACCGGCCTCCCATACCCAAGCAAGTGGTGCATGAGCTACAGTGACTGGAGCTTGAACTACGCCAAATTTACTGTAAGTAAAAAAAAATAAAATAAAAATAAAAAGGAAAACAAGCACTAAAATAGTCTCCTCTTTCGCTCGTTTAGACTACAATGCGAGACGTCTACAAATACGAGACTCTTGGCGAGTGGATAATCCTCCACAAAGCAAACGCCGACAAGATTCTGAGAAAGGACGGTTTCATGGTCGCGCTAAGGTACGACATCAGGATCAGGGCGAACGCCTTCGCGCACCGAGTTGTGAAGAATGGAGTCAAGTCCTTCTCGGGACATCTTGATTTTCCGCCAAGAAGTGTATGACACCGCCTACGCCGAGGCAAGAAGATACGACGAACTCATCTTCAAGAGGTCAACCCTTACGCCATCGGAGGCGTCTGAGCGTCCTGGGACCCACACATGGGTACTAAAAGGCAACCCAGTCAACCACCAACCACCAACCGAGGAGCTCCGCAACCCAACCCAGCCGGTTTCTCAGATTCCAAACTCCCTCCCAGCCAAGCCGCGCGAAAGCGGAAGAGGTTCTGGGTATCAAGGCAGAAATTTCAACCCGAACCACTCAGGGAGCCAAGGGCACAGCGGCAACAGATACCAAAATGGAGAAAGCAGCAGAAAGTAGGTAAAAACCCGCAACCATTTATAACTTCTACCCGATAGTACAGTTCCCTTTGTACCCTCGCCCCTCCCGCAATGTCTTCCTGCATCACATTCCACTTGCTCCCTCCTGACATTTGTCTTAAACCCACACATCAATTGTTGTGATAAAAACCATGATCCCAGCGAATCCAAAAAAAAAAAAAAAAACAAGGAATGAATCCTGACCAACTGTGCCACTAACTTTCCGTAGGAGAAAGCAAATGAGTGTAGAACCACACATGAGAGAAGGGAGCTCAGAAGAGACATCCATAGTGGATAATGAGTCAGCCATTACCTGGCCCAGAGAAGTACGGTGCGACATGAATATCCCAATGTGGAAAGAAGCGCTTGAGAAAACAGGTTTGTCAAAAACCTTCACAGACGTACTCGACGGATTCGTACATGGATTCCACCAGGGCATACCGCAACACGATCTGGGACCAGACATACCCTTCTACGCGCCTCCTAACCATAGCTCGGCATTGCAGGCTCAGCCGAAGATAGAAGAATTGATTCAAAAAGAAATCGCAGTGGGAAGAATGTTTGGCCCGTATTCCGCAGATCAAGTCCACAAGAAATTCGGTTTCTTTAGAACGAACCCGCTAGGAGCTGTGGTGAACGGAGACGGCACATTGAGAGCAATCAATGACCTATCATTCCCACACCGAAAGAATGGTATACCTTCAGTAAATTCTTTCATGAACAAAGACGACTTCGACACAACGTGGGACGATTTCAAAGCAGTAGCAAAATTTCTAAGGAACAGAACCAAACCCGCGCTCCTCGCCATCTTTGACTGGGAGAAAGCGTACCGACAAATCCCAACGGCACCCAACCAATGGCCATATCTCATGCTACAAAACTTCAACAACCAGATAATCATCGATACACGAATCGCCTTTGGCGGTGTAGCAGGATGCGGATCCTTTGGCAGGCCGGCGGACGCGTGGAAGCAAATCATGCTAGAAGAATTTGACCTCGTAACAATATTCAGATGGGTTGACGATAATCTGTTCGTCAAAGAGTTGACGTCAACAATAGAGATGGACGACATTGTATCTAGGTCTAATGAATTAGGGGTCAAGACAAACCCAACAAAAATCTCCCCTTTTAAAGTGGAACAAAAGTACATCGGATTTATCTGGAACGCATCGGAGAAGACAGTACGACTACCCAAAGAAAAAACACAAGCACGAATCAGACAGATAAACGAAATCCTAGAAAACGGCAAAGAATTCACGTTCAAACAAATTGAAATCATGACGGGCCGCCTAAACCATGTGTTGTACATCCTCCCTCAACTACGATGCTATCTGTGCAGCCTTTACAGGATGATGAGTGACTGGGTCTATCGACACGTCCCACGACCGATACCACTAGATGTCAGGCAAGACATGAACTACTGGCACAAGTCCTTACTAGCTTTCGATCGGACGAGGCTTATCGCAAACCCAGACCCTACCGAAATTGGGTGGGTGGGTGACGCGTCGACCAGCTTCGGCATAGGGGTGCTGATCGGGAAACGCTGGGCCCAATTTAAAGCGAGACCCGGCTGGAACGGAGGCGATTTACCCAGGCGGGGCATAGCTTGGATGGAAACAGCCGCAATACGAATCGGCCTCCTAATGATGAAAAAACTAGACATACGGAAGGGCAAGACAATTATAGTTTGGACAGACAATACGACTTCAGAGGAGGCAGTGAAAAATAGGAAGTCTAAAGACGTCCATGTCAACAAAGAGTGGAAGCTGATCCAAAACATCCTCCTCGAGATGCAAATCAATCTCTCGGCAAGAAGAGTCACCTCAAAGGAAAATAGGGCCGACGCCCTATCATGGGGTGATAGGTCGAAACATCATCTAAGGTATCAGGTAGTAATCGACCTCCCGGAGGATCTGGAATTACTAATGTTTCAAGCTAGTAGCTTAGACTGAAACAGGTAAGAGACTAAAGAAGAGACCATACTTGTTACAAGATAATCATGTATCTAGCTTGCTACTCTACTCAGTCTACACTTTCTATATCGGCTACTCGCCTTTTACCCCTGCAATCCAATCTACCTTTCATCCAGACCTTTTTGCGCCCTCCAAAGCGCTGCCTTTCCCCTCCTTTTCGCAAGAGTCAAGAGTACATCATGTTAGATATTAGCAAGATAAAGACGTTTTTAGCAAATGGTAACCAACTCAGAGAACCTACTTCATTAGACATCCATTTCTTAAGGGGTTACAAATGGAACACTCTGCTCAGCTATAACGCGGCGGCCAAGAAGTTCATGATGTACAAGATCGCAGTCAAAGAGACACCCTTCATCCTCCCAATCTTGGCAGGCGATCTCTACGGATTCTGCTACTGGGCTGGTAAGAACACGGACGAATACGACACGCAAGACATCAGTTCCAAGACCCTAGCAAAATACCTTTACGGCATCCAAGCGTGGCACTTGTATCACTCAGTCGAATACCCGAAAGAATCTAAAGCAAGGGTCACAGTCCTCCTCCGCGCCTCCGCTCACGCCGACGCCGAGGCACCCCCTAGGCCGGTTAAAGCTCCGGTAACCGTATCTCAACTAGTCGCTTTGACCAATCACCTAGTGTCCGGAGACGACCAAGGCAAGGCGGTGTTAGACTTGGCCATCGTAGCGCTTTGGGGTATGGCAAGATTGGCAGAGGTCACTTACGACTGCGCCCAAGGTCCACTCCAAAGAACAGCATCCTTACTTACCTCAGACGCCAAATTCACCAAATCTCCGATGGGGATGGCCGTAGAATTAACCATCAGAGGAGCAAAGACGTGCGCTCCGGGAAGTGCGCAAGTAATCTTCCTCCACAGCTTAAATCATATGTTATGCCCAGTCATGGCAGTGAAGAGGAGGATAGACGAGGCGAGAAACGAAGACACCTCTCTTTTTGGATACCAGAGCAGCCCTCAAGGAAGGACACACCTCACTAAGTCCGCAGTAAGGAGAGTCTTATCCTCTTCGTGGAATCGACTAGGCTACCCCGACTTAACAGGACACTCGTTCCGCATAGGAGGAGCTTCTCTACGACACGCGGTAGGTGTGCCGGTTGAAGAGATCTGTAGGCTAGGGAGGTGGACCTCTAATTGTTATAAGCTGTATCTCAGGGTCTACCCCGAAAGAGAAGTAGTTGCCACCATTGAACTGTTAAGAAACTTAGAGTTGGCATGGACCGAGTAATTTAATCTTCACATAACTCTTCCTTATGCCCATCCATTGATACGAGTGTAGGGAATAACAGGAGTACCGCCGAGCTAGGCTCCTGGCTGACCGCCCGGAGAGATGGTTCGAGCTTTGGCTCCACTCTACCGGTGTTTCCTCCTGCTCCGGGGTGAGCTGGGGCGCTCTCTAGCGCTCTCCGACGGCATTACCCTCCCGGGCTCTTCAGAGGCCGGGCAGATGTTCTCGTTTGGAGTCTGCGTGAGGGGCCTCGCTGGTTCGTGTGCTACCAGCCACAACCTGAGCACTCTCACCCCCCAACCCACACTCGGGAGTCTCGGGAACCAGATCGTAACTGACTATGGTTCCAGGACTCCCTAGGTATCATAGCGATACCAAACAAGTACAGGGGTACACACGCGGCGTTGTTGCCACAACGCCGCGAGGTTTATCTTCTTCCCGCTCCCCGAGCGCGGACAGTAAAGGAGGGTCGGGTAAAGTAGACCCTCTTTTTTTTTTTTTTTTTTTTTTTTTTTTTTGAAAGTGCTATTGATTTCACATACCGCACTATTTATCTACTATGTGTTATGGACTTACAACGAAATCTTCTAAAACTAAACAGTAACACGTCATGTATCATAAAAGGACGAGACTACAATCGTGATGTACTAGTTGGCGTGATTATAATAAAAAGAAAGGAAGATAGGAGAAAGGAGATAAGAAGAGAGAAAAAAAAAGAAAATAAAATAGAAAATTAGAAACCAGGGAAAAGAGTAACCAAAACAGAGCTTCCGAATAAGAAATGAATTTGCCTGAGTCGGAATCGTTGTCAGATGAGAGAAATAAGAGAAAAGAGAAGAGAGATGTTCTGGATTTTGGAAAACCCCAACCCATTCCCCCATCCCACCATATGATTGATTACTCTAACTGCTTATAAGCCCCCACAACCTATAGCAAGTTCGAGCTTAGAAAGGATTCCTCCGGTTATCCCCCAATAACCCGAGGCCCGTCGGTCTTCAGGGGGTTTGGGTAAGGGTCCCTAGTCCTTCACATGTAAATACAATTTAGTGAACAGGAGTGAGAAGAAAGAAAACTAGGTACTGTATTAGATCTTGAAATAAGAGATGAAACTAAAGAAGAGGAACGAGATATAAAGAGATATAAAAGAGATTAAGAGGATCCTGTTGTTGTGTTGTATTTCCGGACATTTGGGAATCGATTTGTAGCGATTATGAAGTTGGCGACTTCATCCATGGTTGACGGGTTGTCCAAGATTGACCAAAAAGAGTTTGGGTTTACTTGACATTTGAGCATTCGGAGTTTCCGTTTCAAGGTTGCCCTCTCTTTCCTATATTTGGAGCAAAACATGAGAAAGTGCACTGCGTTTTCTAATACAAAGCAGTTAGTACATCTTGGATCCAATATATTCTTAATTCTGAAAAGAAAATTGTTTAAGGGGGCAGTGTCCGCTCGCAGTTGTAGAATTGTCGCCAACAGGCCTGCTCTTTCGAACAAACACTAGGGGGGTTTGGCGAAATAAACCTGTGATCAGGCGACAGGCTCGGTGATATGAGCTGCCGATTTCGCATTCTTTCTATTGTACCAGACTATACTTCCAAAAAGGATTCTTGAGTACAGTGGGTAGACAGTGAAAAGTGGCTGCTTATTTTGGATTCCAGAGCTCCAAAACACAAATTTTAAATCATGAGAATTGGTCAGGTGGTGGATAATAGTTTCCAAAAAATGAATATGAAAAAATAAAAGCAAAAAATAAAGTTTCAAAAATTGTGAAAAATAAAAAATAAAACTGATTTTTTTTCAAAAGCTTTGATATTCATTTTGGGGAAGTGTGAGTGCTGAGAGAAATGAAGATTGGGACATGGGAAGAATGATTATAAATGAAAAAAATTGGAACCAAAAAAGGTTCAGCCAGGTTGGTTGTCCAGATTGGAGCCAAAACAGTAAATTCTAGTGCTTTACTGGCAATGTGGGCTGGTGAAACCCCCACTCAACAGCTGCTTGAAGCCATCTGGAAACCAATTTTTCCAAAATTTTCATTTATAATCATTCTTCCCATGCTCCATTCTTTCTTTCTCCCAGCACTCTCACTCCCCAAAAATAAATATCAAGGCTTTTGAAAAAAATTAATTTTATTTTTTATTTCTCACAAATTTTGAAACTTTATTTTTTGCTTTTATTATTACATATTCATTTTTTGGGACCTATTATGCACCACCTGACCAAGTCTCATGATTTCAAATTTGTGTTTTGGAGCTCTGGAACCCAAAATAAGCAGCCACTTTTCACTGTCTAGGCACTGTACAAGACCGATATGACTAGTTTTCTAGCCAGAGCCATGTTTAAGCTGTAGTTTGATTTTACAATCCTTTCGAGCTGCATGAGTGTGAGGTCTCCTGTTGATTTTACCTTTTTCAGGTGTTCTGAAAAGGTCAATCGTTGATCTAGAATTATTCCTAGCCATCGAGTCAACTTTTGAAAAGAGTGAGTGTGACCATCAAAATCAAAAGTGGGGGGTGTAAGTGGTTTACAAGAGAAGATCATTAGCACTGCCTTCTTTGGGTCAAAGATGGCCCCAAACTTTCGACCCCAATCTAGCGATTTGGAAGCATCCTCTGGGAGCATGCTGATTGCCTGGTCCATCGAACTAGCGGCTGCTAGGTGGACCACATCGTCTACATATCCTAAAGAGATTCGGGGACTGTCAAGCTTGCATTGGTGATGGAAGAGCAGACTGCTGTTGTAAATGATGTAAAGGGTGACGGACAGGGGGGAGCCCTGCGGGAGTCCCTCCTTGATATTGAAGGTTGAAGAGACATAGTCTCCTAGTCTCATGGAGGTTGATCGGTTAGATAGGAAGGAAGAAATCACAGCTGTCAAATATTTGGGGCACAAAAGTTGATGAAGTTGGTCTATCAGTCGGGATGAGTATACAGAGGGATAAGCAGATTTTACATCTAAAAACAGTCCAGCTACTATGTTTCCTTTCCGCCATTGGTGTTTGACCCAGGATGTTAACACTATCAAGGCATCGATCAGTTTTCTACCCCGTCTTCCGCCCATGTGTCCTTGGGGAAGGATGTCCTTTGTTTCAATCCAATGAATCAGATGTTCATTGATGATTTTTTCAAATACTTTCCCTAAGGTGCATAGTAGCGCTATGGGGCGGTAAGCGTTTGGTTCGCTATAGTCTGGTTTTCCTGCCTTACGGAGGATAGCCGTCACTGCTAGCTTCCATTTGCTGGGGAAGTGACCTTGTCGCAGACAAGCATTGAAAAGGGGGGTTAGAAAAGGAGAGAGAGAGGTTTTTCCCATCTTGAGTAATTCATTAGGGATTTGGTCTGGTCCTACTGCTTTTTTTGCAGGCAGAGACTCGATTGCACGGTTCACTTCTGCTTGAGTGATAGGGGGAAAGGTGGGCGGGATATTCTCCAAGGCCCTGGGGAGAATGTCAGAAAGATCGCATTAGGAATTGATGACTGAAGTTCCTTTGAACAGCATCTCAGCTTGTTCAGCTACATCAGTGCATAGTGATTTGTCGGGTTTTTATAGAGGCTCGACTGTAGCAGATTGTTTTGCTTTGGTGAATTTGTATGCCTGGAAGGCCGAGGCATCTCCTGTTCTAGCCAGGAACCGTCGACAATGAAGCAATTTTAGTTCATCAACTTTCTGTTTGAAAGCGCTCTGCCAGGCATAATAGCATTGTCTTGCCTCCTCTGAGTTGGATAATATCATCCATCTCCTTGCCCTGTTGCGGTTTCTGACAAGGGTTCCAAGGACCTGAGGATCCCACCAAGAATTTGATCTAGTGTAACCTCTCCAAGGCGCAGTGCCCTGTTTCTGATGAAATTGTTGGATGCCTTTAGTTAAACAAGAGACCGCCCTATCAATGGCTGTAGCTGTGTCAGAAGAGTGGGGAATGGGGATGGACTTGATTGTCTGTTCAAGATCAGTCGCAAATCGAGAGGTGTCAACCCTGTCGGGTGTGATTCCTCTTGTACAGTGGGTGGACCGTTATTTTTGGCTGCCTGTTTTGGACCCCAGAGCTCTGAAAAACAGACTTGAAGTTATGAGACTTGTTCAGGTGGTGCATAATAGGTCCCAGAAAATGAATATGAAAAAATAAAATAAAAAAATTAAGTTTCAAAATTTGTGAAAAATAAAAAATAAAACTCATTTTTTTTCAAAAGCTTTGATATTCATTTTGGGGGAGTGGGAGTGCTGAGAGAAAGCAACAGCAAAGGAACATGGGAAGAATGATTATAAATTAAAAAAA